AGAAACCCTGTCTTAAAAAAAAAAAAAAAAAAAAAAGAACATGTGTGTTGAATGTGTTCATGTGTGTGTGTGCTTCTCTTTCTGTTACCTTAGTTTTTGAGACAGGGTCTCTCCCTGAACTTGGAGCTTGCCGCTCTGGCTGGATGGCTAGCCAGTGAGTCCTCAGATCTACATGCTGTTTCCCCCACTCCCTACCACTGAGGTTAGAGAAGTGTGCTACCTGCCATACCCTGCTTCATGTGTGTGTTGAGGGTCTCAGCTCAGGCCTTCAAGCTTGTGCAGCAAGTATGTACCCACCGAGTGGTCATCACCCCTGCCCAGAGTACTGTTTATACTTACTTGGTGATTGGTGTATGCTTTCATATCACAGGGGCATCTTATAGCATAAACAGAAAAACGTTTTAAACAAACCTGTTGCTCACTTTTGTTATTTGCCTGTAAGAATTTCTCTGAGAAAAACTTGGTAATTTGTCTCTGCTGGTAACGATTTGAATGAGGCACGGAAGCAGCCAGCTGTTCACAGCTGCCAGGGCGAAGGGTGCAGCCTTCTCTCCTGCACCGTGTGTGCGGTTCTGACTCCTCCTGGGCTGCGTGTCGTCTGTAGGAACAGGCCCTTTGCAGTTGAATTGGCTCCCTCTCTCCTCGTCTCTCCCCTCATCACAAAGCGAGTATGCTTAGATCCTCCGTGAGAGGCTAAAAGGGAAGGAAGTTCGTCACGTAGACGTTGTCATATCTGTCAGCTGCCCCTCCATTATTCTGGCTTTCCTAAGAACACCGTGTTCTGAGTGCAGGAAACTGCCTTAGACGGGGCGCACCTTAGTTCTAGGTCTGAGTCGGTGTCCTCTGCGCTGCCACCTCTCAAGGCTCTAAGAGGAGGCGTGGTTGGTGCCCTGGGGGCAGCGGTAGAGACCTGTGACCTTGCGTTTCTAATTAAATTGTGGGCAAAGATTATGCTGTCGTTTCGTTTACCTACCGTTTGTGTTATCTCTCCTCCACAGAAAAAGACAAGATCTTCAAAGCCTTCAAAACCAGAAAAAGACAAGGAGTCCAAAAGAGGAAAAGGAAGAAGCTGGAAGAAATGAACCCGTTGTTGAGTTCCAATAGCTGCTTTTCACTTACCCTCTCGGCTAGTCCAGCTGGTCCAGAGAACGGAAGCCTTCCCTTTGCCAGAGTAACCATGTGTAGACAGTGGGGTGGGTGGCCTGCTGGTCCCCTTACAAAGGACGGTACAGCTAGACGGTCGGACTAGCCAGCTCTCACGCACCTCTTATAGAGGTGCAGAGGACTGCCCCAGGCCTGCACTGTCCCTGCCCACCGATTAGATTGCTGGGATCCAGGGTGACTGTAGACTCAGTACTCAGTCCCCACACAGGCTTTGAGCCGGATGTTAGTTAACCATAGCCAGTCTGGGCAGTGGAACAGAGAGGCATCCTTGTAGCTTAAGTTTCTCCTAATGGCCGTTAAGAGGACCAGTGCTGATTTTTTTAAAAACATGGTAGTTCTTATTTTATGGTGAAATTCTGTAAATAAACCTTAATACAAAGCAGCTACCACCTGGAGCTGAGCATTCTTGGTCCATTTTCAGGTATCTTGCAGAGTATGAATCAAGAACCAAATGTCCATGTAATGCATGGATCATTCTTAAGATTGGCATCTTGTACAGCCAGATGTTACGCTGGTATGTTCCTTCCCTGGTTACTTTGGTTGGATTAAAACATCCGGCATACCCTGTGACTTGAGGGTCTGCAGGTGAGGAGCTAGAATCCCAGCATCCCTTTGCACTGACCACGTTGCTGCTGTAGTCTCAGAGGCCTCTTGGCTAGTCGGGTGTGCAGACACTGGACTGCCACACATTCCTGTCTTCCTGCAGTCTCAGCCTTCGGGGGAAACCATAGCGTCCAGGATGGGGCAGATTCACAGGCTGGTCCATTATGGCTGGAGGTACTGTCCGTGATGGGGTTCATATCCCTACTGAAGTTTCCAATGTATCTAGAACTGTGCTTGTTGAAGGACCCTGGGGCCATTGATGTAACCTGGCCTTTAGGTGTTTAACTATTTTTAAATCAGCAAGTGCGCAGAGGACCATGCTGCCTCTGTGAGGTATATGCCAAAAAGAATATAAGGACCATGCTCTGCCCGGAGGATGCATGGCCTTGTTGGGAGAGGAGACAAAGTCCTGGAGACATTGCAAGTGTAATAACGAGTGTGAAAAAGTGTGTTTCCTGGAAATGGGTTCATTATGGAAATAAACTGCCCTGAAGCCTGAGCCTCTGAGTCCTGCCCTCACTTCTCTGTTGACACTTGGCTGCTGCACGGACGGTTTCCTCACTAAGAGGAGACTCGTGTGCACGTTCATCCATGCACGGACAGACATTCCTCAGACGGACAGACATTCCAGGAAAGGCCCAGTCTTCTGCTTGCTTTCAGAACAAAAAAGTGGTGTTTCCTTATTTAATATAGTTACAATTTCAATTATGAGTGCTGTAAGCAAGCTGTAAAGACAGTTTCTTTTAGAGTGTTGACCTGTTGAAGTTATAAACAAATGAATTCCTGACGTTCTAGAATGAGTGTGCTCACAAGTGAAAGCTGAGGCCCGTAAATCCCAGAATACAACGGGCTTGGCTTCACAGATGCCAGGTGGCTGTGACTCTTCCTCAGTGGGGTGAGGAGGTAACGGGAGGCTTAGGACTGGTGACCTCTCCTTAAGGTGTACCGCTTAGTGAGCCCCCAAGAAGACATGTTTCCGGGGAAACTAAAGGAGTTAATTTCACAGTAGGAATTCCATCGTCAGCAGAATGAGCAGACAGATACTACGTTTATTCACTTTGTAAAGAGGATTGTCTTTGGTGTTTTGTTCAAGGGACAGACCCTGCAGTGTTCTGTCCGTCCTGGCCAGACTTTATAAGGCTCCAAGCCACGCCCTTCATCACTTTCTCTATACAAATCCAGGAAAATGTTACAAATCTAGTCAACAATTTTATTTTAAAGGAGATAAATAAAAAAATTATTAGAAAACTGGGTATTTACAATGAATACACTATTAACGTGTGGAGCGCGCTGTGCAGGACTTCGCAGAGGAAACACACAAAGTTCAGTACAGAGCAGGTTGTCACTGCGGAAGCGGGATGTGCTGGGCTCTTTTATCTTTCCGTATCCAGAGAGGATCAGTCTCCAGGGCTGCCAGGGGTGGGCACAGCCTCCTGAGGGGAGATGCCATCTACTCAGGAGCAACGTCTAAGAAAGGGACAAACAGATGCCTTTAGGAAGCTCTCAGGTGGCCTGCCTTTAATAAAGCTGTATTTCCTGACACTTCCGGAGCCCAGGAGCCCTACGGACAGACAGACAGCATTGAGCTTCCTGAACACAGCTCACGGCAGGCTGGTGGGAGTGCTGATGGAGCCCCTCCTGTGAGGGATGTGCACATGCCCAGGGTGCCGGGCGGGCTGTGGAGATGAAACAGGTAGGTTCCGTCTCTGAGGGAAGTTGGGGAGCAGTAGCAAAGGAGACCCCACCATGGCAGTGTGTAATCCCGACATGGCTGATACGCCACAGTTTAGGTTTCTATCATGTGTCGCATACCGTGATGCAAGGCAGGATCTGGAGAGAGCCTGGGAGCTTTCTTGACAAGGCTCCACTTTTAGAGGTGGTAAAGACACACAAAGGTATGAATTTGAGACAAAATGTAATAAGCAACTAACTGCCCAGAGGTATTAGAAAGCAACCCAGGTAGCAGCCGGAGGATGTCATCTTCTGAAAGAATCTGCTGGGTTAGATTCAGGGCCATGTGTCTGTCTGCACCCGAGAGTCCCTGAGGCAGGGGGATGGCTAGAAACCACGTCATGATGAGTTTATCCCCTGAATAAAAGTTGATTTTATTTTATCATATAACCTACTAAATGGGATAAATTTATTTTATCAATATAACCTACTAAATGGGATAAAGGGAGAAACCTTTATCCTCACACAATTCATTGGCAAAATTCAACATTCAGAAAACTAAGAAAAAACTAATTAGACTGGAGGTCTTTCTTTAAAAAAATATCCTAATAGAAAAGGTTAGTGAGGGTTGGTATGGCAAGCCTTTAATCCTAAGACTTGGGAGAGGCAGGAGGATCACTGCAAGTTCGAGGCCAGCTTGATTTATAGGAAAACCCTGTTTCAAAGCTAGGGGTCTGTGAGATGGCTCTTTGGGTAAAAGGGGTCCTGGTGACCCGAGCTTGGCATTTCTGTGCCTTGAAAAGAGAACAAGAAAGTGAAGAAGCCCACAGAGAAAGTGTCTGCCAACAGTACACCCTGAAGCTTGCATCTAGATGTAGATTAGAGAGTCAACTCTTAGAACTCACACAGGGCAATCCAACCCAACCTGGGCTAAGACCTGAGGGCTGCACAAATGGCCGACAAGCACCCCGAAGGATGGTCTACACAGTGTTAGAATATCCACGCAACTGGACCCCAGCGGCACGCTGCGGCACACTCACTGGAAATGGACAGAATACTCGGTTTCGGTGAGGACGTGGGGAAGCTGTGTACGCTGCTGGGCCTAGAAGGCTGCCGCCCTGTGAAAACAGCCCCATGGTTCAGGAACGGCAAAAAGGCCAATGAGGCGGATGGAAGCAGGCTGAGGCTAGCTCCAAGCCTGTATGTGTGTGACTGAGACCTAGAATTCCATTTTAACCAGGGCAAGTTCAGGATGTTCTATTAGGGTTGTGGTGGTTTGACAATGACCCCCTTGGGAGCGGCACTATTAGGAGGTGTGGCTTTACTGGAGTAGGTGTTGCTTTGGAGGAAGTGTGTCACTGGAGGTAAAGCTCGAGCTACACTCATGTGACAGTTGCTTCTGCTGCCTTTGGATCAAGATGTAGAGCTCTCGGCTCCTCAGCACCACATCTGCCTGCACGCCACTATGTCCCGCCCGCCATGATGATAATGGATGAACCTCCGACTGTAAGCCGCCACCCCAATTAAATGTTTTCCTTTATAAGAGTTGTCGTGGTCATGGTGTCTCTTCACAGCAATAGAAACCCTAATACAGAGGTGACCTCTCTCTCCCTCCCCCTGTAGTAAAAGCTCTTGATATTTAGCAGGTTTGGGCTTCCTAACTAGAGACTACATTCCTCTGCCTCCCTCCTGTGTGTGACCCTGTGAGCAAAAATCCTTGTCCCTGGAATGAGGTAGAGGAGTGTCTGTGTAGCTTTGTGTGGCCAAAGTGAGACTTAGGGAAAGAAACTGAGACTTCAAAATCTCTGGAAGTCAGACTTTGTACGTCAAATAGTTCAGCTCCCATTTAAAGAAAGCTGGCTTAAGGGCCTATTAAGAACTCCATATAGTTTGATAAAATACAGTCTCATTAGAATTCATGATGCTTGGCTAAATAACCACGTGGGAAACCATATGACTTGCACTTTAACATTGAAATAAGTAAGTTCGTTGTCCACTGAACTCTGACAATTACGTTCTACATAAAAAGGAGTCGATGCCAACCCGAGGAGTTAAGCCGTGCGGCCCCTGGGCTGCGCAGCCTGGAAGGAGTGTGCATGGCGGGGTCCTTACCTGGGCCGGCTGCTCACTGTTCCGTCTCTGTCCGCAGGTACTGGGTGCAGTCGGAAATTTTCTTCAGCTGACTGAAGTTTAATCTTTCTGAACACATGGGACATGTGCTTTCACTGTTTAGTAAGCTGTTTGGGGAGACAAATGCAGAGTAAATTCAATATATAATTAACATGTCTTTATCTTCGGGTTAAGCTAATGGGAAAACCAGCCACCTGCCTGCACCTCTGCATCCCCACGCCCCCACACGTCTTAACGCATCCATCCACTGAGGAGGGATAAGGACTCGGGGTCATGCGAGACCCCCCTAGGGGAGGATGCTCTCAGAGGTCACGAGAGGTTCTTCCAAGAATACAGACGTGGGTCTTTAGGAATAGAGAGTGCGGAGCCCTCACAGGGAAGGATGGAGGACAAGCGGCCTGTTTCCGGACCCAGCTGTGGGACCGGGGAAAGGACAGACACTCACATCTTGAATTCTGAGTACAGCGCAGGGAAGCCACAGTGCGGGCACATTGTCCAGTCGTCTTTCAACATGTGTCGGCCCTGGAGACGGAAGAGTGACGTTCGGCATCTCAGAAACACTGAGCAAACCACAGCCGAGGACAGGCTCTGACTTAGGACACTACCGCCACTTCTTGCAGGGGGCAGCTGTCTAGAAAGATGCAGCCAAGGGCTACAGCTGGGCTTGACTTAGCAGATTCAGGTTTAAAGATGGACTAAACTTCAGCTTTTTCTTTCAGTATGTGATTCTTTTTTTTTTTTTTTTTTTGGTTTTCGAGACAGGGTTTCCCTGTGTAGCTTTGTATGTTTCCTGGAACTCACTTGGTAGCCTAGGCTGGCCTCGAACTCACAGAGATCCGCCTGCCTCTGCCTCCCAAGTGCTGGGATTAAAGACGTGCGCCACTACCGCCCGGCCAATATGTGAATTTATCTGTCTTCAAAGTATAGTTTATGGTAGCCAAGGAATGAACAAATTTGACATTTTAGTTTTCTGATAGTAAGTCTTTTTGGAGGATGGGGTTTTGTGAAAGGGCTTCTCTCTGCAGCCCTGGCTGTCCTGGAGCTCGCTCTGTAGACCAGGCTGGCCTCGAACTCACAGAGATCCACCTGCCTCTGCCTCTGCCTCCTGAGTGTTGGAAAAAGGCGTGCGGCACCATCGCCCGGCCCAATAGGTCTTAATGGCAGAAATAAACTACGAGTTATGAATGCCATAGTAAGGCAGGTGTGGCATCTCACCAATGCAGCTGACCTCAGGACAAAGGTACCAGGAGAAGCAGACTGCACTGTGCTACGAGGCCAGTAGAGAGCAGAAAAAGCACATGAGAGCACAGCCCTCAACCGCTGAGTGTGAGGTACCTAGCTCTGGAGAGGGCCTTCCCCTGTGCGCTCTGAACCTCACCTGCTGACCGTGGGCTTTCATGCTGATGTTCTGGAAACTGAGTCAGGATAGTGTCCACGGTGCAGGACACGTGAGTATATCAACTATTCCGGAGGAAAGGGACCTTGGTACGGAGACACTTACTGTGGCAATGCAGTAGGGGATGTTGTTCTTGCAGCCGGGACAGAGCAGCTCACACTCCGGGAGAAGAAACTGGCAGAATGGGCACGGGGTTGTGACCTCTTCTGTCTCAGACGTATCCGGTCTCCTGGAGAAAGCGTCACATGTCATTCACAAACACCACTTGAGAAGCGGCACTGTCTGGAAAGAACTAGTTCTTC